TTAGCGGCAAATATACCATTACAAAAAGTTAATCACCCTATTTTAAAACAATTTATGAAAAAATAAATTAATGTAAACAAACCTTACTAATACAGATTTGTAAGAGCAAGTGGAATTCAGAAGCACCAATTTTAACGACATTATACATACCTACAATAAAATTTTTCGTAAAACAAAATATTGCAATTTAGTGTAGTTTTAACAAAATTGAGGGTTTATTTGAACAGCTGAAAGTAATTGATGCACCAATAAGTACAAAACTAAAAAAAAAAATCTATAGTGGCGCGTAACCCAGATTACAACACTTTGAGGGACATAGCTTTTAATGCATTTACTTGTGATGCATTGTGTGAAAAATATTCGAATTTGATTAACATTTTCTCTAATGCACCGGTAACAAGTTGTGATGTGGAAAGATCGTTTTCCATGTTTAAAGATGCTTTAACGGCAAAAAGAAATTATTTTAGAGAAGATCATTTAGAACAGTATGTGGTGATACAACACTTTAATACAGCTAGAAACTCTCAAAATAACAAGAATTCTTCAGAAGTCGGCGCATAACTTTATTTTGTGTATCATTATTTAATTATTTGTTATTATTTAGTTATTTTTATATTTATTTGTTACATCAGTTTGCAAACACGCGAGTATCAGGTACCGCCACTGCACTCGATGTAGCTGACCGCATCGAGTGGTCGACATTACTGCGCGCTGAGAGTGCCACACAATACCTGGGCGATTGCATCTGGTAGATAAGTGTCAGGACAGTAGTTATATCCATGTCTTGTAATTTATTTTTTAAATATGTATTTGCTAAAGAAAATTGTTTTTTAAGATTATGTCATGATAATAACAATACTGCATTAATATCCACACGAGATTAATACTATTTTTCTCACAGCTCCTAAACGATAAACAATGTGTAAATTTTTTATAGAGATGTTTATGAAGGAGGATATAATTAAAAGATTACATATGAGTAAAATAAAATGCTTATCACGCCTTAATAAAATTTGCAGTAATTTCTGGATATAAAGAATCAAAGTCTGCCGTCAACACAACTTGATTTGTACTCAAGACCGATACCGATTTGTAGCTAATCCGTAATTGTAATTCTTCTTTTTTGATTTATACCACTTATAGTGTGCGTTTTTGTGGCACACATAATATAAAGAATTATAACATAACAATGACGGTGTTTTTTTCTAAATCATAGTGTCACATTTATTAAATACTGCAGATAATACGTTTAGTGAATATCGTTACGTCAACAACTACCTAAGCTTTACAATCAACATACAAATTAACTTAAATCCCTTGATTATCATTATGCTGTTCCAAACTAACAAGTAAGTAAATAATTTCATTCAAGACCATTTTAAGACTAAATATGGAACAAACGAAGTGTAATTATTCACTTTCAAAATTGCGTACGGGTGAAGGAAAATTTTAACCTCGATTTTAACATTATGAAATGCTTTTACTTCATTTAAGAATAATAATAATAATAATATTGAATTTAACTATATAGATATCCTGCCAATGTGTAAATTTGGGCTTCCGTTGTCGAACTTACTCGACAGATCTGAAGTATACTGAATAACGTGAAGGTTATTGGTAAAAGGTAAATGCAGCAAAATTACAAGCGTGTGTGTGAGAACAACAAAGAAAAATATTGCTTTAAACAAAACTAAATGAAATTATAAATGTAGTGAGTACAGCTAAATAAAAAAATTGAAATAAATAATGTATGTTAATGATTAATTAATAACTAACACAATCCACGGAAGAAATTTTAGAACAGATAAATCTCCGTAGTAAATTGGTTACTATGAAAATTCACGTGTATACTACGTTTATTATGAAGATAATAAATGCTAACCCAAATTAGTCGACTCATCCTCTTGAAAAATTTAATGTCAAAAGATTTAAATCACAATTAAAGTGTGCACTGTGATATATCTACTCTTTTATCTTTAGTGTAATAATAACATTTTACGCATACAGATTATCCTAAAAAGTACAAAGTTTATCATTATAACAGAAATACGAGCATTTTGAAATTTTAGCAAGAACAAACATTAATTTAGTGATTGGTGACCTTTAATTAAATTTTACTTATACATTCTCTCCAAAAGATCCGATGCTGTTTGCTTCTGTAATAAGTTTATAATTTTACTTCCCGAGCGTAAGCTGAGAAAGTATTGTAATGGGGTCCATCCGGGAATGGCTGTCGTCTGTGTCGATCTTTGTTGGACAACAGATTTCTACAGCATGGTTATTAAAACATAAACCATCAACCACTTCAGAAATTATTGTATGATTATAACAGCAATGCTATAGAATTGATAAAAATGAACAAGGAAGTATCATATGTTCAAAAAAATTATGCGCGCATATTTTTTTGAACATATGCTTGCACTATGATAAATCAATTTTATGGTTACCGCGAATAATGTTTACAACGAATAGTATAGAATAACATATTATCGACGATGACTAAAATTTACACAAAAATTATAAAATGTATCGTCGTTCATAATCCTTGAATTAAGTTATGACTTTAATCAGAAAATAAATAAAAAATATTTAATAGCTGACCTAGTAACATGCAAATCTCTATAATCTGATGCAATAATGTACAACATCAAATAATTACACTAACAGACAATATTTTAATAACTGGTAGTTTTCAATCATCTTTATTTCGATTGGATTTTTTTGGCAAATTTAATATTCTTTTTTGTTCAAAATAAGTTTTATTCAAACAATAGTTGAAAAATTCGTGTAAGCTGATTTAAGAACAGCTTCTCCTGTACCTGAAGAATAATCAATTCTGCGCGCCTGTTAGAGTGTATTCTTGAAAAAATATCTTTTATTCCGTTTTCATGGGGATAAACATTTTACTTTTAATATACGTAACAACATAACATTATCATGACGTCACTCTCTTCTCTGAATTAATAAGCAAATAAAAGTCGTGTTTGAAGCAATAACAATATTAAATGGAAGTATATTAACAAAGCACAAACAACACTGTTTCTTGATGCATAGTTTTTAGAATTTATTTAATAAATTTTTGAGATGACGGCAATCATACATAAATTTTATAATTAATGATTTGGATTCATTAAATCCATGTTGGTATTTTGTCAAAATTTCAAAAAAGTTTATTGTTTACTTATGTTGTCAACGTTTATGCTTGTAATTGAAATACCGTATTTTGAAATTGTAAAAAAAAATACAAAATAAATGAGTGTTTAAATTATGTCAATTGATTGATTGGGTTTCTTAAAAACACACTAACTCTCGGTCACAGGTGTTTTATTAGCATCTGACAATAAAAGAAATACTGTATTACATAAGTTATATCAAGCAAAATCCATAGAATTATTTTTTGTGGGATGACACAGCAATGACCCTAGGTGGACGAGGATGTAGACGGATGGGTCATTTCAGCTATCCTACAATTATGCACATTTTCCAGGATGTAACTTATATACTTATATTTGTCTTGTATGAGTAGTTACAAAAAAATAAAAGGATATTAGTAAATACAATAAATATGCACTTTGTGACTTAAATTTTTGAAATATTTATTTATTTATTTTAGAGCATGACATAGACTTAGGATAAGATGAATAAATAAAACTCAAACAATATTCCGAATACTCCAAGTTCGTTACGTATAGACAAAAATCTGGTGAGCGTGCTTCAGCATATTCGCATACATAAAGTTTTAAGCAAAAGAGATCGTTTCGGAGATTATTTATCTAATAAACCATCAACAAACGGGAATGTATGAAAATCTAAGTAAACATAAAATTTCACATCCATTAAAATATCTCGATTACAAGATTTCCCTTAGCTATCACTCGAAAAAAAAAAATGACATGTGACCCAAGAAGTAAATTACTCCGTTTGAAAGTAACCATACTGTTAAATAAAAATAAACACTGTTCCTACATTAAAAACCAACAATGTAAATGTAGGTTAGTTCTGATAGCGGTACAAGTACTGTATACAGTGTCTTTTACAAAAACCAATCATTAAATACCGTAGTCTTTCCGGTTTTCGTTCAATTATTTAGTACATGTAAGTCATTCATATCTGGAATAAATCGTACCTACGCTGCAGTAATACAACATAAAATTAATTTATACCGTTTCGATACATAAAAATAAAACAAATGTGCACGCTATGAGTTTTATTTAAATAACCGTGACGTTACTCTTAAAAAACGAATTAATGTTTCAGTAATACAACGTATCAGTTTATTCATTGTTTTATTTTATTTCTTTGTCGATTTTTATCTATGCTCCTTCATTGGAGTATAAAATAACCAACGAAAATATTTTGAGTCAAAGTTGGATACACTGATTTTGGATAACGTATAGATGATAAATTTAACAACATTGAAAACACTGCAAGAAAAATTCAAGCTATTGGTACTACACTTGGTAAAATACGTAATATATTATGTAACCACTTGAGAAAGTGTAGAAAGAGAAACAATACATAGTTTTAACGACTGTCTATATACAATAACAACAATGAAAAATGATACACCGTATTGCAAAAACATAATCGTATCGTTTTTATTGTGTCGTGATCCATAAATTATAAATTGTTACTTTTTGTTTTTTTACATTGGAAATAATTTTTTAATGAAAATTTTACTTAAAAAAAATGGCTATTTATCATTGCATTATGGTGGAGTTCTGTGTGGTCCAAATTTACAACAATTACTTTGATATTAAATCATTATTATTAAATAAAAATATTAATACCACTAGATAGTACCAAATATAATAATAATTTATATCTAAAATTAATTGTTCCACATCAAAATATAGAAATCACTTGAATATATAGAAGCAGATATTACTCAAAAAAGTATCTCAATTTTCTATTAGCAAAATAAAACAACTTGTAGCCTGAACAAGTGCAAATTTTAATAAGTTAATGGACTATTAATGAAGGAAGATAAATTAACTTACTTGAAGCCATTGTAGATCCAGGAAAGTAACATTTAATTTAGGTAAGGTAGCCGCTTCTTCATTAGCTGCAGCCAGTCTGTCTCGTGGAACAAATAATTCAAGAACTTTTTCGTAATCATCCTCCACTAAAGGTATAATGCCATTTTCTTGAAGCATTTCAACCACATGTAGCGTTGATTCCTCAACAGTTGAATCAATCGTCTTTACAACAAGATCTGGGTGTTCAGGTTTCTCATACGGCTGGTCGATACCAGTAAAACCTTTAATTGCGCCCTGCCTTGCCTTTTGGTACAGTCCTTTCGTATCTCGTTGCTCACATATGATCAAAGGCGTGTCGACGAATACTTCGAAGAATGGCAAATCGCTGTCGCGGTGTATTCTTCTCGCCAGCTCGCGGTCTTCTGCAAACGGAGACACAAAACTACATAAACAAATCTGACCTGCGTCAGCGAATAGCTTAGCGACTTCTGCAACTCGTCGAATGTTTTCTTCCCTGTCTCGTTTGCTAAAACCCAAGTCCTTATTTAGACCAGTCCTCATGTTGTCACCGTCGAGCCCATAGGCTGGAATTCCATGCTGGATCAAATAGGCTTCCAGTTCAAAAGCTATTGATGTTTTTCCAGCTCCAGACAATCCGGTGAACCACACTGTGCACCCTCTGAACCCTCGAAGGTGGCCCAGGATCTGGCCCCGCTTAGCTCGCGACACATGATGTTTCTGTTCTGTCACGTTTGTTGCTACCTGCATGCAGGTTTTTTGTTTCTTTATAATGTCTTCTTGTGTAGGTAATGACATTTTCAGGTGTGGTGAACAGCTCACTTTAATACATTAAGTTTAGATGAAAGAAGAATTTAAACAACTTTCAAATTTCACCTGAATTAAGTAGCACATCTGCTATTAAGACTGTTGGTGAAACTTTTATGTCACTTTATTGGTTTGAGCGCTACCTCACTCCTTTCTTCTAGCACGACACTCTTCCGTCTGAGTCTGAGACGACAGTACCTGCAATGTAGGTTATGTTTACGTTATTTACCTCGAGGCTGAGTTCCTATGTGGGGATCTGCGGAAACTCCGACGAAAAATGATTTGTTGTGATTGGCTGCTTGAAGCCTTGAAAGCTTCACATTTCGCTGGTAACCAATGGAAGGCGCGTTTCTATTTCCGTAGGTTTCCTACATGAAAACCCAGCGTGGTGTTAGTGACAATTTAAAAAACTATTATAGAGTACAATGCTACAATGCCAATGTGTAAAACAGTCAATATGACGTGTTTCGGACCAATAAAAAATATATAAAAAAGCATATTTTTTTAAAACCGCATTGTTATTGCTATTATTGTTTATGATGTAGTTATCAGTGTTAATAACCCAAGGATAATTGCTTAAAAAAAAGTCTTATAAAACTTGAACAGGGCGAATAATATTTGTTTCAACAACGACTCTAAGCCACGGTCTCTAAACTAAAAGAAACGGCATTTCCCGAATGTATTCTTTATTGGATTACTGGACTTATTACTCGTTGAGACGACTGAGATAAAAGTTATGTTTAACGATAAAGTGAATAATAATAGTAATTCGTTTTAATGTTAGAATGAACCTTGTTATCTTATACTTTTTTTGTAATATATTAAAGGTATCTATACCGTTTCTTTGATGTGATATATTTGTCACATGAGTACAAAACCAACTAAAATGATAAAAGTAGAGTCGGCCGATGGACTCGAACAATACTTTCTTCGGTTACGCTCAGGAAGTAAAAACGTTCAAAGTTTGGCGATAACTTCTAAGAATGATAATAATTCTTAATCAAGAAAAGAAATTATTTAGTAAATTAATATTAGATACTATTATATTAAGTCATTTCTAAAAAACTATAAATGTAAATAAATGACAACTTAAATAAAAAAAAGTGGCAATCGTCGAATGGACTTGATTATGATTACTACATAGGTACTTCCTTAGCTTACGCGAACTTTCAATTTTTATGTTTATAAATTTCATATTTTTTATTAACTCAAAACGAAATAAGTATTTAAGTGTTGTATAGCGTTGTAACCGCAATTTAGTCGCCTATGAAAAGCCGCCAAAAAAATATACGTTGTAACTTAAAAAATGTAGCTTTGAATATATTTGCAATGTACTAAATTAAGCTTTCCCCTTCAAGCCGAAAACAATGGCGTTTGCAGAATTTCAAAATCTCTATCCGTTCTCAAGATATAAGGTCGCAGAGTTTTAACTAGAACATCCTGTATAATAAGTGAGGACATGGGGGTTTAACGGGAAATTTACAAAGTGGGGCCCTGTGGTATTGTACACATATGTTGTTTGGATATTATTATTACTACTATTATTTTCAGTTTTGGCGGCGATATTGGTTTTTTCAAAAAATTATGTTTTTAAAATTTTCATGACGCTACCAAGAAAAACAAAGCTAGTAAAAAATTGTGGAAGGTTATTTTGACAAAACTTCCCTCGCCCTTAAAGTATAGTCCAACAAAATCAGTTTCTTCAAAAATTATAAAATTAGACTCTGAGATTTTCGTTTTGTTATAACTGCTGACATGTACGTAAAATGGCGCAATTAACAGCCCCGCAACCCCCGCGTCCTTAAATGGAAAAAAGGAATCTGCTGGAAAGTAGGTAGGGAAAAAATGTAGACATTCTCAATTTCTCAGTATATGCTTAACTTCGGCTGTTTATGTTTATATTTCGACCGAATTCGACTACTATCACAAGCATCAGCGATTAAAAGAAAATGAAATTTGGCTGATTTTGTGTCTTCAGTATAGAGGAAAGGACTGATTGATTAATTCATACTCAGTTTTTTTTCTCAAAAACACTCATAAATTTGAAGAAATTAGGCAAAAATGTAAGATGACGGACAAATTAACGACGAAAACGACAAAATTTATATATAAAGAACATTTATCCGGGCAAATTGTAAAATGTCGTTATTGTTTTAGAGGGGCATAAACGAAAAAAAATTCATTAACGATTTACCAAGCTTACGATAATCTTAAAACGTTCGCAAAATTTCAGAGCATTCGGTTTGCAGTTTCAATGTTAAATTGCAAGATGTTGCAATTTTGATTTTTTTTTTCCAAAAAATGGATATCTCTGGATGTCTAGGACCGAGAAATTTCCCGGTGTCCCGGCGGCACAATCCGACACTGTGTATAATACCCATGCTAAATCATCCCTATTTTTACTGTGCATAATTTATTATTATATTTTTCTGCTGACTTTGTGTAACTGCGGCTCATTTAATGACGTGGTATTTCATTACACAGAATTTTAAGGTAATGGCCAATGATCTAAAACGGGTTATTAGTTTTCCATTAAGTTACATTGACGTACAATATAATTAACGTCGAGGCTACATGATTTAATAAATGAATCAGAAAACAGAATTATGTATTTACTAAAATATAGTTCGGTTTGAGTTAAAATTGATATTAATTTTTTGACCTCCTGAAAGAATTATCGTCATGGTTTTCATAAAAATGAAAATACAAGGTCTTGACTTATTGATAAAGATATGATCTATTTTCACAAGTCATAAGTATGAATACATTTAGCATAAATACAGACCGTTTGGCGTATGTTAGACTCAGCTTCTTAAGTACAAAATCAACTTCCAAACCAAATTAAAAAAACACTGCACTTTTTCCACTGACAACAAATCGCAATAGTTTCCAAATTTACTGAAACTTTTTTCTTCTAAATGAATAATAAAAATAAATAAATAACACACGACTTTAAAATTGTCAGATGATAATTCTCAATGACATAATTTTTTACTTTTTTACTTTCAGCATATTTTTTTTTATCAGAAAAATTACGTCTTACAATTAATTTGATGCAACTTAAAATGTAGTGTTGACTTCAAGACCTAAAAGTATAATCTGGTTAGTGATAGATTGGCTATTTCGAAATTTCCATGCTTGTGACAGTGGTTAAACATTTGACAGAGAGTATTTTGTTGGGCCAAAATTTGTAAAATAAATAGTCCGTTTAACTGCATGGCATCAGAAAGATTGCCACATAATATAATTTATCATACATCAAAGTCGGTTTTATAGCTGATGCCATAAATAGAATGATAGTTTATCAATGAGTCTGACAACAAGGGCGGCTTTGAAAAAAATGTGCGTCACTCTGGTAACAAGGTGGTATAATAATTAACGCAAGAAATTCCCGAGCACCCTTGATAACACAATAATTTATGGACATGTTGTAATTATACGTATATACAGTTGCCGCCAAAAAAATTCAGACGTCAATGTCATTCAGTCGTGAGATAGTGTAAAGCAACCTTTAGATGTTTCTAACCTAAATATTTTACAGTCATTTTTAACTTTTACATTTGACACTTACATGAACGTAGCTGTAGCGTAAGCTGGAATTTTGAAAGTTTGACATTCCAGCTGTCCGAAATAATGACAATAAAGCATAGACTACATTAAAATTTTTGACATGACAGAAAAGTGATGTGTGAAATTTTTTGGCGGACATTGTATATATTTTAATATGGAACTAAAATTTTGGAAGATATTTAAATAATAGCAAATGCATCTTAAGTATTCTGTATAAAGTCATCCTATTTTATTTGACAATTAAAAATAATTTATAATAATGAATATTGACAGCGACGAATTTTAAATGTTTTTTTTTACAAAGATACAAATATTTTGCAAAACTACCGTCAATCAAAAAATCATTTTCTTGCTTTTGTATGCAGTTTTTAAATGTCACACTTGTGTCTTCATATACATATTCATTTCATGTGAGAAACGTGTAATATTTACTAGTATTTACCTGGTTCATCATAAACTGGCCTCAGGTTAAGTAAACAAAACGCGAATCTAAGTCTAAGTTTGAACCTAACTTCAGTAATATGGATTAGTATTTAACCAAACAATTAAAATAACTGATTAATACTTAAATTAACTATATTGACAACATAACCAGTAAAGATGCTATAAAAATCTTTGGTATAGACGACGGAATGAATAACAGTTACATAAATAAATTAACAATCTATATCAGCAATATCTTCTAGAAAATCTTTGCTCTCTGTGCGACCTTTTCGAAATCTTATCTGTCTGTCTTCTTCCAACATAGAGGTATCCTCATCAATGGAAGAATTAGAAGAACCTGAAATGATAAAGAATTAGTCTATTACTGTGTGATAAGAAGGTTGCATCTTAGAAGTTTTAAAATTATGAAACTTGAAAAAATGATAAAAAATCTCATTCACTTTACCGCTCACTTTACTTGCATAACTTGAACGTCGTCATTTAGCTTTGTGGGTTGCGTGCGTATTCTCCCAAAATTTTGATAACAATAACGTTTTCTGTTTATCAACCTGTAGTTTTTTTAATTACAAAGTAGTGTGTTAAGATTGGAATTATATTGAGTTAATGAAACTTAACCCTAGATTACACACAAACACACCATTTTATATATTCTGTTAATATTATTAAAATAAACTCAATGGTGTTTCTTTAGTGACTAATGGACCTAAAACTATTCAAAGAAGTGTTAATTGTTCGGTAAAACTGTTACATTTACTTGGTTTGTATTCCTGTATCTTGACCGTGAAGTAAACGTTTTTGTTTTGATATAAGAAACAAGATCATTGAGATTTTAAAGCAACCTTGTTGAAAGTTAAAAAATGTATGGGTAAAGGTTTAGGTTAAAGTATGATAACTGATAAATAACAGCTTTAAATACATTTTAGTTTTCCTTTTTATTAATAAGAATAAGTTGTAAATGACCAAAATTAATAGAAATATATTTAAAATTACTGTTGCTGCGTTGTTATATATTTTTACAATTATCTTTTTGTTTATACTATATCTCTTCACCAAAAAACCTGTACACACCCAAGTAAATAGTTTTGTTTTTATAGAAGAATTGATTACATGACATAAAAATTGAATTACGTTTCAATCATCATTTGTAGTACTAAAAGGTGAAGAATTTAATATATTCCATATTATAATTGTTTAACTATGTCATTTTTTAATGTAACACATGCGCACTACTTTTACTAATGCAAAATCCTGCAAAACGTTTAATTAAATTTTATGTGAGGAATAAATACGTAAATACGCTGAAATTTAAGTTATTTTAGTATCTGTGAAACGATTTTACGACTCTATTTCATTGTGAGTTAAATGCAAGTATCAAGTTATCCCATTATTTCATTAAAAATTAAGTGCATTAATAAAGGTCTTTAATTTTATGTGTATGTACTTAAAAAGTTTTTAGATGATATATAAAAAAGTGTTTAAATATTTTGTTACTTACCACTGTCAAAATCTTTTAACATTATTCTTTCATTTTGTCTTTCGATTAAACGTCGATATTCTTCAGAATTAATAATTTGATACCAACTGATCATGCAGACAATTGCAATAAATACCAAGTTGGAAGTAATACCTGAAATTAAACGATTACAACAGACTGATTATACTCTATTTTACTTTTAAATAAAATTACTAACTGGAAAGAATAGGATTTTTTTTGTAATTCTTAGTTTGACTTAAGTATTTTCAACTATTACTCAAAAATCCAGTAAAGTTATTTTCTTACCAATAGCTGCAGAGAACACTGGCCAATTGTACATTAAAAATCTTAGCCCCGTAAAATGAGCATTAATTAAAAATTTCGCAGAATAAATCTCTATATGTGTTGTCTGTATTTCAATAAAAATATCAGTTACTGGTTCACTCTGCAAAATAAAAAATAATGTTTTCACCTCCATTATCTACAATGAACTTACTTCAATTTCTTCAAAATCAGAAAAAAGTTCCACATGTATGTTCTGTTTTTCTTCGGAATTACCAAATACAAAGAAAGGACTAAATATTAACTTATATAGAATATCCAACAGGTAACTGCGGTAATGTAACATTGTAGAACGACACGAATTGGCCAAAACTTTTCCACTTCCGCTAAGAAAATCAGCACATACCATAAACATTCCTGTAGCATAAAATAATTTCTAGTTATAGACACATACTCTTTTACAACTGTTAATCACCCAAACTTACCAAGGTCTTTGTTGGTAGGAGATTCAGGCATCTCTAAATCTAAATGTATCTTGTATGGCTGACCCAACATTAAAAGCCTTTGTCTTTCAGTTAGCTTTATATGTGCTGATGGAAAACTGCATATTCCTTTGCCATTACCATTACCATTACCGTTGTCACAAGAATTCGTGTCACATGCTCTTAACAATAAATTACAATTTGTTTGATGTCACTGCAAGTAACTTACCGAAACTTGAGATACACTGGACGTTCATGGGAAATTGTTGGTACGTAAGCATAATAAAATGCTATATACATAAAAATTGATAACCAAACTAAAAGGGCTGTAATAAGTGCAACTACGGTGCCCCTAAAAAGAATTTCTCTGATACTATTGACCCCTGACTGGGTTCTTGCCTTGTACAAATTAACTGTGTCATGAATAAATTTAACTAGAGGCAATTTTATTTGTTGTTTTAGATACTCGCGCGGACCTAAACTTACTACACGTTTCAAACAGGCAAAAATCTTAAACATTTTTATTTACAAACGATTTTGAATAAAATAATACCATAACCTAACTTATTAAGAATGTCAAATTCAAAAATTCGCCTTCAAGCCTGAGAGAACTACTAATCGTCCACATCGGATCTACTTATTTTAAAATCGTTAGTATTGATAAAAATTTCTGTCGGACGTTCAAAGATTCCATGTTCATAATGAAATTTGAACGATAATGTAGGTGACAAATTTTAATCTTTGAACTTTGAACTCTCCTTAAGTTATGATTGGTTAGCAATGATACCGGAGTAGATAACATCAACTTGTGTTACATTTTGAAGTGTTATGCCATGCGCGTAGGTATTTGATATTGATCATTGTGGATTTACGCGCTCTACGTTCAGGAGTGGATTGAATTGGTTTCGGAACCCGGGGGGGATTTTAGGTATCGCTGATATAGTTATATTGATTAGATTTTAATTGTACTTGGTTTGAAACGAGTGAAAAACAATGATTCCATAAAAAGAGACTGTTTCCACTTTAAAATAATTTTACAAATTTATGAAGGAAGTATTATTTATTGGGAGACAAGTTTTACATTATTCTTGACAATAATGGATTTTTGATTAATACGGCATAAATAATTTGATGTGAGATTTTTCTTAGTATACAAACAGCAGACAGCAGACAGGACTGTCTGCGAAGGCGTAGAGTGTTAAAAAATATTTAATAGATAGGTATACATACTGTGACTATAGTTTCGACACAGACCCCTATTATGGGTTTATCGTTTTCCGGCTGATAATAATTAAATTGAATATAAATTATCATATGTGTTTGTATATTTAACGAATATTTAGTATTAGAATAGTGATTATTCGGTAATTTTTGGTAAGAATAAACATATTAACTACATGTCTTGTTACACAAACTTTGATAACGGGTGTTCTGTTAAAAAAATCACTCAGAGTAGGCGTTAGAATTTTATAACAGGTTTCTTTTTTAAATTTTATTGTTTAAGACATGTGAAATATAATATTTAAGTTTGAAGAAGAATCTCGGCCGGGAGTCGAAACATAACAGGATAAGAATGTTTTAGTTACTTTTCGTTGACCTTACAAATCCCCCAGAAAGTTTATTTCATTTTAATTAAATATAAAGTGTTATGATTCTGCCACTATTGTATGTTATACGAACAGGCATGCCGTTTGTGTTAAATGAAATTCCAACGTCTACTCTGAGTGATTTTTCAATTGAACAATTCTGCTCGTAGAACAATTAGATCACAATAAAAAACTTTAATTGATGTCTGAAATTATTATTAAATCAATGTCAGGTTGGTTCTGCATGTTTTAAGACAGTTGTAAAATTTCATTCCACAAGCTAAGAAAGGATTTGTTGCGTAAGCTGAGGAAGTATTGTAATAGAGTCTATCGGGCGACTGGCTACTTTCATGTTTCCTCGAGGTTTCATGACCAGAAGAATACTAAAAAATAGATTTTTCGTTTCTGTTTGTCTGTCTGTCTGCTGTGTCGACATATGATCTTCGAAACTACCGGATTTTATATGTATGTTATTAGAAATATGGTGTAGACGGTAAAATGGTACCTAACTAAAACTTGGTTAATCATCGCCAGCAACAATTTGATAACGTTCCCTCAATTTTTTTAACTAAACGCTATTTAAATTCTGTGAAATAATATTGTTACGAAATACACCGTTACGCCGCCCCAGTACGACGCCTATGGCCGTCGAGAGCTTTCTGGACGTACGCACGGCGCTGATGGCTGAATCATCACTGCTGACGGTGTCGACGGCCGAGAGGCGGGCGCATAAAGACAGATCTGGAGCCGTCTCGAAGCAGCGTCCAGGGGAGTCGCGAAGTGGAGTCGCGATGGATGTTCATGAAGGATCTCGATCAGAGAATATGAGTTTAAATAGAGGCGACCGTAGGTAATGGATTCATTCAGCCTGTGAAGACAGTCAAGAGCGCCGGATTAATTTCTGTACATATTCGTTGCAATAGATAGTGTTGTAATTCGAGCTAAAGAAATAAATATTTGAGTTTTACCAACGCCCGATTTATTATTCGCTCGTCAATCGTAACACTGGTGTCAGAAGTGGGATTAATTGTGAAATAAATCGGGATTCGAATTTGTGTTGGTGCTACTAGGGGAGACCAGAACAAAGTGAACTTTCGAGAAAATTCTCTCGCGCGACGTCCGTCAAGACTCTAGAAGTTTCTAGAAGAAAATTTTATGCCGACTACCACAAGAGCGCAAACAGCCAACATAGAGGAACAACTGACCAAAATGATGAAAATGTTGAGCGAAAATCAAAGAATAATGGAAGAAAATAGAAAAGAAGATCGAAGAATAATGGAAGAAAATCACAGAATAATGGAAGAAAATAGAAAAGAAGATCGAAGAATAATGGAAGACAATCGAAGAATAATGGAAGAAAATCAAAGAATAATGGAAGAAAGTAGAAAAGAAGATCGAAGAATAATGGAAGAAAATCTAAAAGCTATGCAAACTGCACTTTTGAACAGCCGAAGTGAAATGCTCCAAGTCATGCGAAATGAAGTGGACGAGGTGAGAAATGAAATGGAAAACAAGATCAAGGAGCTCGAAGAAAGGTTGCAAACACCACGACCTACAATTACGACCCCTGCAGAATTCAGTCCGGTGAGAGTTCAACCCCCTATTTTCGATGGGCAGACGTCGTGGACTACTTATAAGAAGCAATTTGAAGCTGCGGCCTTGTCGAATAGCTGGAATGACCAACAGAAAGCGACCGCTTTGGTAGTAGCACTACGAGGTGCGGCCCTGGAGATTCTACAGACATTATCAGAAGAGAACCAGAAGGACTATACCGCCTTGACGACCGCCCTCGAACTCAGATTTGGAGATGAACACCTTCGGCAAGTTTTCGTAGCGCAGCTTAAATCTAGGATTCAGAAGAGTAGTGAATCTCTTCAGGAGTTTGCGGCTGATGTTAAACGCTTGGTACACCTCGCCTATCCTGAAGCTCCGCAAGACTTCCAAGACAGTCTGGCAGCAGAAACCTTCGTAAACGGCGTAAGAGATAGTGAGGTAAGAAGAGTCCTGCAAATCTCCGGGTTCAAGAAACCATCCGAGGCGCTGATTCGAGCGTTAGAAGTGGACGCCGCATACAACAGCTCACCTCGTTCCAACGTTAAGATACGAGGCATCGGGGTTGAGGGCGAAGTAAACCCTATTCAAGAGAGTCTCGACAAAATGAGCGAGAACTTTGAGAAACTCGCCCGCGAAATAATTGCCGAAATCAAGACGGGCAGTTCTAGACAACATGGAGGGCGCCTAGAATGTTACAGGTGTGGGCGTCAAGGGCATATTAGGAGGGATTGCCGTGTTAGATCGCCAGCGCAGGAGCAGGAAAACTAAAGGCAGTCGGTACCTCGGGGCGCGTACTGGCTGCTAAAAGAGAAGCCCCAACGACTATAATGGTTAGAAGTATCGCGGGGAGCGTCGACAGTCCGACAATCAGCGGAAAAATCAATGGACGGGAATCGAAGATCATCATCGACACAGGAGCCGAAGTGTCCGTTGCACGCAGATCCAGGTTACAAAATTGCCAGATTAAATCAGTATGTGCCGCCACGAATGTGAAGACGGTCACAGGAGAAACAACACCGGTTCTGGGTACAGCGGTGGTGAATGTAGAGCTCGGTCGACTCCGAATAAAGCATGAAGTTCTGGTGGCGGAAATCGCTGACGATTTCATTTTGGGTATGGACCTAATCAGCCGGTATGGTTTAATGATCGATCCAGAACAGAAAATTCTGCGTTTTGGAGCCGAAGAATTTGTGCTGGGACGTCCGAATGTGGAAGCTGCAACGGTCAGACTAGTGGTCTGTCAGACAACGAAGGTAGATGGTAATGCAGAAGTCATCGTCCCCGCCAGAGTAGAGACGAACCCCGGATACAGTTTGGGGATGGTGCAGCCGGCACGTGACTCGACCCACAAGCTCCTGATCGCGAGCACCCTAGTCAAAACCGATCGTGACATACCCTTACGTGTGGCAAACGTGTTTCCCAATGCAGTCAATATTAGAAAAGGGGAGATTATCGGAATGTGTGAGCCAGTCGCCCGAGTGAGTATTGAACTGCGAGGAAGAAGACGTTGAAAATGAGTCTAAGGAAGGGGATACCAAAGGCTTGGAGGTCAACTGGGACCAGCTGTCTGCTCGTGAGAGAAAACTGGCCAAAGGACTCATTCGTAGGCACCGTAATGTCTTCGCCTCAGAGGAGGAACCATTCGGGAAGACCAACATCGTAGAACACCGAATAAACACTGGTGACACGCAACCGATCCGTCAGGCTCCTCGAAGACTACCCCTAGCCAAACAAGAAGAAGCTACAAGACTCGTGGACAACATGTTGAGAGATGGGGTAATTGAAGAATCCAACAGCGCGTGGTCATCTCCAGAAGTCTTGGTCACCAAAAAGGACGGTACTACCCGATTTTGCGTCGATTACAGGAAACTGAACGACGTGACGAAGAAAGACAGTTACCCCCTTCCTCGAATAGACGATACCTTGACGACCTTATCCGGCTCGGCGTGGTTTTCAACCTTGGACTTGAAGAGTGGCTACTGGCAAGTAGGCTTGCACCCGGACGACAAAGAAAAGACTGCGTTCTCCACCGGAAGTGGCCTCTATCACTTCACCGTTATGCCCTTCGGATTATGTAATGCGCCAGCAACATTCGAGCGGCTGATGGAGATGGTGCTGAAAGGATTGACATGGAAGACCTGTCTGGTATACCTCGACGACGTCATGATTATGGGCAAAACGTTTGACGACCATCTGAAGAATCTTGAGGAGGTGCTAGAACGAATGGAAAACGCTCGTTTGAAACTAAATCCCAAGAAATGCTCACTCTTCCAGAAACGAGTCGAGTTCCTGGGCCATATCGTGTCGGAGAAAGGAATAGAAACCAACCCGACGAAAGTTCTTGCTATCCGGGATTGGCCCATACCAAGAGACAAGCATGAACTACGAAGCTTCTTGGGACTCTGCACATATTACCGACGATTTGTAGAAGGGTATGCCGACATCGCAGCACCGTTACACCAACTGACGGAGCAGAAGGCGACTTTCAAGTGGAGCAGTACATGTGAGATGGCCTTTAAGAGACTGAAGACGGCTTTGTGCACCAGCCCCATTTTGGCTTACCCCAGGGACAAAGGAATGTTCGTCCTCGATACCGATGCGAGTAACTCGGGAGTTGGGGCCGTATTGTCGCAGATACAAGATGGGGAGGAAAGGGTTATCGAATATTTTAGTAAATTACATTCCAAACCAGAGAGAAATTACTGTGCCACAAGGAAGGAACTGCTAGCCATTGTCAAAGCCGTCAACCACTTCCACAAGTATTTATACGGACAGGAGTTTCTGATCAGGATCGACCACGCTGCCCTCTCGTGGCTTCTGCGGATAAAGAATCCCGAGGGCCAAGTAGCGCGTTGGCTGGAAAGACTACAGCAGTACCACTTTAGGATCAAACACCGAGCGGGTCGACTTCACAACAACGCTGACGCTTTGTCAAGACGTCCGTGCGGAGAGTGCAAGCACTGCGACAGAATCGACGCCGAAGAAGGGAACCTGCCCGTTCGTCGAACGATTTTTGAGCAAGATAAAGAATGGACAACGGCGCGGCTAAAGCGTGAACAAGAAGCAGACGACATAATCGGGCCAATACTAAAGTGGAAGGAGGAAGGAGTCGAACGACCCGGCTGGGCAGAATTGTCCGACCAATCTCCCAGTTTGAAGGCGTTATGGGCCCAATGGGATTCCTTGGTCATGGAAAATGGGCTCTTGAAGCGGAAGTGGGAGAGTCCTGATGGGCGTACCTCTAAGACGATGCTGGTACTCCCCAAGGTAAAGGTTTCCAAGGTCTTAGAGGAAGTTCATGCCGGAACATCTGGAGCCCACTTCGGAGTGAACAAGACTTTGTCGAAAATCCGGGAGAGGTTTTATTGGGTAGGCTATCGTGACGACGTCGAAAGTTGGTGTCACAAGTGTACGACGTGTGCGGCCAGCCAAGGTCCTCATACCAGGGCGAGAGGAAAAATGAAGAAATATAATGTTGGGGCACCTTTCGAAAGAATCGCCATCGATGTGGCCGGTCCGTTCCCTGTAACAAACGACGGCAACAAGTTTATCCTGGTGGCTAGCGACTACTTCAGCAAGTGGCCAGATGCCTATGCCATTCCAAATCAGGAAGCCGTCACGGTCGCGAAAGTACTGGTTGACAATTGGATCAGTAGATTTGGCGTCCCCTTGGAACTTCACTCAGACCAGGGACGCAATTTCGAATCCAACGTCTTCCAAAGAGTGATGCAGCTACTGAGAATACGCAAGACAAGGACAACGCCACTACACCCACAGTCCGACGGCATGGTGGAAAGGTTCAATCGGACTATGGAGCAACATCTTTCGAAAGTGGTAGAAGAGCACCAAAGGGATTGGGACCAGCACCTCCCACTATTCCTGTTGGCCTACCGCGCAGCTATCCACGACACCACGGGTCAAACACCTGCTCACGTTGTATTTGGGAAGGAATTGCGGCTGCCCTGTGACCTAGTCTTTGGATTACCATCCGAAGAACCAATGGAAGTACGTGACTACGTGGACGAACTGAAAGAGAAGTTGGTCAACGTGCATGAACTAGTGAGGGGCCGGATCAAGATTGCCAGTGATCGAATGAAGACCCGTTACGATGTGAAAGCCAACTGTGGCGGATTCCAGGAAGGTGATTTAGTGTGGCTGTATAACCCCCGACGGAAGAAGGGACGTTGCCCAAAACTGGCTCCTGACTGGGAAGGTCCATACACTATCGTCACTAGAATAAATGACGTAGTTTATCGGATCCAACGTGGACCGAAGACCAAGATGAAGATCGTTCATCTTGATCGACTAAAACGGTACGAAGGAAACAACGAAGACGCTTCCGATCGGGACGATCGGATTTGAAGAGGGGGGCAGTGTTACGAAATACACCGTTACGCCGCCCCAGTACGACGCCTATGGCCGTCGAGAGCTTTCTGGACGTACGCACGGCGCTGATGGGTGAATCATCACTGCTGACGGTGTCGACGGCCGAGAGGCGGGCGCATAAAGACAGATCTGGAGCCGTCTCGAAGCAGCGTCCAGGGGAGTCGCGAAGCGGAGTCGCGATGGATGTTCATGAAGGATCTCGATTAGAGAATATGAGTTTAAATAGAGGCGACCGTAGGTAATGGATTCATTCAGCCTGTGAAGACAGTCAAGAGCGCCGGATTAATTTCTATACATATTCGTTGCAGTAGATAGTGTTGTAATTCGAGCTAAAGAAATAAATATTTGAGTTTTACCAACGCCCGATTTATTATTCGCTCGTCAATCGTAACAATATACTTCTATACTCGTGGTTTATAAAGCCGCATTGATTTTTACACTAGGCATCCAGATTTTCGCAAAAAATCCAAATTACTGCATCACATTTTATACCAGTACAAGCAGAGCACTGACCTATGGTGAACTCTATGGCCATGCCGTAAAATTGTTAAATTACGCAAAGGTTTCTGGTTCAATTGACTCATAGGTTACAATTTTTTTTTATTGATCAAAACAAGATCAAAAATTGAGAACACAGTATAATATTGAACTTTATTTGCGATTAATCAAGACAAATAGGTAGTTCAAATTTGGATTGTATTTTCAGTTTGTTCTTATCTGTCATGTTAATAAAATACATTTTCTCAGATTTTACGTATTTATTCCGTTGTTTTCAATCATATAAAAGCAACATTTTTAGAAAGAAACTTTTTAGAATCGTCCTCTATACCCAACCCGACAGTTTTCGTTGAAACAGATAATCCTACGACCGCAGATTTCATGGCTCCGTGGTTAATATTTTCGTTTATACATACTTCAAAAAGAAGCTGGTACTGGTAGATGCCCAGACGAGCTTCTTCTGTTAATTTAGGCTTTTTTATTTGAATTGGGGCAACTGGTCTTATTTCCAGGGTCATATTGTCTTCATACCGGTATTTTAAATGAGGTCTCTTAAAATATCTTATAGAAACACTGAATTATTGTTACCAAAACAAACACCTTCAAAGTTTTTTTACATTAAAATGTTGCATTTGACATACCAAATACGTGGTAAATAAAACCTGTTCTTTAAAAATAATGGTAATATATAGCAAAATACAGAAGTCGGTCAATTTTTTGGGGCCAGAGGCAGTATATTTTATGACGTTTTACTTAAATATTGTGTCTGTTATTCAATTGCTTTATTCTTTAATACTCCCTCTATTCCAAATAAATGTCTTACTTATAAAAAATTTGATCAATTTTTTCAAATTTCACGTATTTATGCAAATTGTTAAAATTTTAAACAATCAAAATTTGCAATTCATAAACAATCTCTGCTGAAGAGCTAATTAGATGAGTGAGTATACCTCTCGAATTACTGAACTAAAAATTTGATACTCTCCATGTCTGTAAATATAAAATTTCGCCATCAATAACTGAATTTGCTTTTACCTAAGCATCTTTTAGCGAAGTATGTTGTACTATTAATGCCTTAAATAATTCATCTATAGGAGATGAATACGGATTAAACATTATTGTAGTTTATCTATTAATTTATTTTTTGAACCAGTGCCTTAAAAAGCGAGTAACTCGGAGAACTTCGATTAAAACTTACGCCATATTTGGAAACAGTTCATCACAGTTCATTCACAGAAAAGATAAATCGACACACTTAGCTATTACTTAACTAATATCGAAGATTAGCAATGTTTTCTAGAATAAGGTGTATTTAGGAGAAGTATTTTGTGACATAACAAAAGTGTTTGATTGCTACAGACACTAATTTAGATTTTTTATTTAATTTTCATATTTTGGTGTAACTTAAGGCTCTGTGCTAAGCCTAATCCTCTTCATGATTTATATTAATGATATTCAGAACGTGATACGCGAGAAAAACTTACTAAATATACAAAAACCTTATTTTACCTTGCTGCTGTATTTTCAATGCAGCAATCTGGTTAAAACATGTAGTAAAATGCATCCATGCTCATTACGCAATAATAATAATAATAATTTGCATATGTTTTCATCGTTTTAGCAAAAGTAGATAGAGTGCTACCCATTGGGGCTTCAAATTTTACAACAAACTATCATGTAAAATTATAGGTATGTCTTAATTTATTTAAACTCAGTGAGATAATTTCTTCTCCCAAAAAGTTAATATAATTCGTATCAGCAGTTCTTGAGTGATCATCTTTCATGGCATCCCTATTACATTAATTTCATTGAAATTTTGTAGCAGTACGCTAGATTTTATATTTAATACAGCGCAGTGTTTTGAATGGAAACTGTTCCTTCTTAAGGCCTATTATTATTATTATTATTGATTACACTGCCTTACGGGAAAACTGTTATTAACAACTTGTCACACACATGTTTTCCATTAAACTTATTATTATAGGCGTTTCCCTTAAAAATATTGAGGGCAACGGCATTTGTTCCTGGGTAGTATGTATTTATTGTTTTAAACAAAGTTATTATTTGGCATAAAATAAATACGTAGAATATGAAACACTTTGTTGGGTGTTTCATTGACTATCAAAATATTGTTTGGTTGAAACATTTTAAACAGATCGTGTCTTCAAAGCAGAAGCAAATTTTCTTTTCATGCGTGTGTTGCGTTCTTTGTTTTCAGTTGATGAATAATTAAAATACTATTTTGTGGTTGGTTGGACGAATATTTTATTATCATGTCATAGTTTCTTACAGATAATTTTTACATTTAAGCGCCGTCTATTAACAAATTTATACACGTCTTGGTGGCAAACAATAGAAAACTATACATTTAAAAATTACTCTTATAAAAATTATTTAATTGAAAATATTGCTCTAGTTATAAGAAATAATTATTCCACAATATTTTCTTTAAATAATTTTGTGTAAGTTAAGTATACATTACAATATACTGTGGTGTAATCTGATAATATCTAATTCAGTCGGGAATAACAATTCATTAATAACAAAATAATCACATTTACATAAATTGCTGCAAAATGACAGTGTGTGACGCAAGCCGATTTTACATCTTGAACATTGTAACCACTGGCGTAAGTCATGTTCACGTGAAAACTTCCTTCTGCCAAACCATTAGGCGACCGCACCATGAACATATATTCTCCTATTTCTGAAGAAGTCACTTTAGTCAAAAACAGGGCTGCCTGATGACAATTTGGGTCGCTGGAGTTCTGAAAATGAATACATCATGTAATTAATAAAGAATAAGTATTCCTTTAACACTGTGCATATTTCATTATTTGCTAACATCTCTGTATGTTTTGAAGGAGTATTTGTATTCAGGTGGTATAGTCCAACAGTGGTTTGTGATACGAGAAAATGTAATATGGCGTTATTATTATACGATACTACAAACTCCAGTAATATTGCTTACGCCTAGAGCGCGAAATGATATTATTACGTAGGAGTCCTAGGTATATGCGTCGTTTATGGTGCTGTTCAACACGAAGTATCAGCTAAAGCGGTCTGAAAAAAAAAACGGTCGAGAATGGAACCTGAGCTTCAGGTGAAAGTCAATCACGTAATGAACTGATGTAGAAGAGGACTGCTTTGGTTGAGAGCCGAAGATTTGTTTTAAAATAAAAGCTATTAATCTTTGGTGTTGCAGGCATCATTGACGAGAATCCATATAAACATCTTTGTCAGTCATAGCACAGGTGTCAGTGTGGGAATGAATTACAAGATCTGGAGTAACACCGTTTCTAAGAAGAAGAATAGAGAAAAGAAGGTATTCTAGTATATTTAATACGAGTTTAAGAAAGATCTAGAAGATTCTATTTAAACGCCAGTTAATGTGAATTTAAAAAACATTTTAACGGATTTATAAATAAGTAATATAATACATTTCCTGTTCTAAAAGAATATAAGTGGAAGCCAGTGTTACATGTGTTTTTGTTCAGGTAGATAAATTTGTAGGTGTTCTACAAATAAATTATTTTGGGAAGTACATTTTATAAATTCTTGATGGAGTTCCAGTAAGTGCACGCGCCATCAATTTAAAAAAGCGTAAAGAAAGCCAGTGATGGTGAACATGAGAAATGGTTTTTTAAGATGTAACTTAAGTCTAAAATAGTGAATCCACGAGTGTAAGAAGAACGTCTATCTAAAACACATCTGTTTAAGAACTTGCGTTTAGACATAACCTTAGATCATATTATATGATCTAAGGACATAACATAGAGTTTGATTTATTATACGACTCTATTCAGATAAAGTTAGGCTAATGATTCGTAACCTACCTAACACAATTTGTAAAATTAATACAAAATACAAATAATAATGCTATTTTTTATCCTAATAATTACGACAGCTTGAACAAAACTATTGTCTACAGATTTTAAATATAATATTCTTCAAAATTAAGAAAATCTTATCTACCTGATGAAGGTAATTTACGAAAGCTCCAGGAGAATAAAAAAAGATTAGACATTATTTTAGGATTTTCAGAAACAAAAGGTGAAACCGCAAGTCAGAAACTTTTTTGGGAATTCATTTGGTACTTTAGAACAATTCCAAGACTGAATTTTAAAAAGTTTGCTTCGGAAAAAAGTTATTCTGCGAAATAGGTTCATAAACCAAGAAAGAGTGAACATGGAATATTCGCTAAAATTCTAGAAACATGGAATACCACCTTCGAGAAGAGATCGAAGAACAAAACATAACGTGGTTTAAATTTTAAAACTGGAAATAGTGTAGAAGGTAGAAATTAGCCGAGGAAGTCAAAAGAGGTGCTGGAGCATTCTTTTTGCAAAAATTATAGCAGCTTCATGATGTTTACAATTTTACGAGCAAATAGTGTCCTTTATGTTCTGGATGGATGTTTAGAAGCGGCTAAGACAGTGTGGAAGAAAAGTTATTATCAACGAAAAATTAGAAGAGGAATATTGTTAGAGTTGTGGAAATTTTGGCGTGCTATTAAAAGCATCCGATATGAGAATTCCTTATTTAAAAAAAATCTCTATGCCTGTTGAGGTCACAACGCAATGCCCAACAGTGGGAGAGCAGATATATAAAGCAATGGAAGCGTTCAATGAACAAATACTCAATCAAATGTAAGAACATAGCAAGTTAATGCAAAGATGAGTGGAAGAAAAGAATTCTGTTATCTAAAAATTTTGATATACAAATGTGTATTGCCAGCAAACAAGATTGAGTTGTTTGAGGTTTTTTTTTGTAAAACTTTTGGTTTATATTTTGTATGTTTTTCATACTGCAAACGAGCGCTGTACGTACAAGCATATGATATGTAACATAACGAATCAAGATTAATGTAACTGGTTACTTGGTTTCTTCTAATTTTTCAAATTTGTGATTTTCTCACTGATTTATTATATTATCATCCATAAATTTACAGACTATTTCATCTCAAATAAGTAATTCGTCACACTTATTTTCACCATATGTGTAGGAAATAAATCATGCGGTAAGGAATGTAATCGGTTTCGCTGAAAAATTATTGTTTCCCCAATAGCAACAGTGGCTGAACAAATTCTTACTACACCTTGCACTATATAGTGTCCCTGATAAAACTCCGCGGCTTAATATCTTGAAAACGGATAGAGATATTGAAATTCTGTAAACGCTATTGGTTTTAGGTTAAAAGGAGTGCTTTGAAAATATGACGCATATCCATATTTTTTATACTGCAACGTATATATTTTTTAACAGAATTTGGTAGATCAGTTAATCGCGATTAACTTTTAACTGAGGTCCGTTGCTATGCAACGTGTATGTTTTAACCAATAACGGGCTCATATTCTACATTTTGTTCCTTTGTTAAATTAATCGAGAATTAAATATTTAATTCGCTTTCTATAAACTGACCCTCATGTGTTTATTTCATTTATAATTATAACCGTTAAAAAAATTATAGATATGTATAAAAAAATTGAAGTTGAGTGTAATAAAGTAGCGACGGTTTATTTAACAAAAAAATGAGTAAAATGTGATTTAAAAAATAGTCATTTAAATATGTGTTCGAACTGTTGTCCTTTTCAGTGAGCACAAAAATTCTTACTAGTTCGTGATTAATAATGTATCATTTTAATTTTTTAAATTAACTGATTAATTAATTTAAAAATAAATCTAACGACCTTAAATCTGAGCTGCGAGCTGGACATCAAGTAAGGTTTCTATTACCCATCCAATTTTCATAAAAAATGTTTTTTAGGATATAATTTTTTAATTATTTTCGACAGATGATGAAAAAATATTGTAGTGGTCCAACTTTTATGACGTTACAAATTAAGAGTAGTAATGTAATTGTGTTTGAACATCTTTTACCATGGCAATATATAGCAATTCGATATATCTCTTGGTTTAGATAATTTATATTTTTTACAGGTGAAGCTAATACAACACATGTAAGTGTTTTATATCATTATAATGGTAATTTAATGATCTATCAGATCCGTTAAAAATATAACGTTATAATTTAACACCAGTCGCCCGATGGACTCGATTACAATACTTCCTTAGCTTACGCTCGGGAAGTAAAAACATGTATTGTAGTAACAATTTACTAAGTCAAGCTTAACAATTTAAGATAAAAACAAAGACGTTTCCAGAATTTTAACATCTTTGTCTGTTCTCAAGATAAAATGCCGCGGAATTTTGTCTGAGTGACTTGTGTAGTGTTTATAAAAACATTCTAAAATATTATGTATACATATAAAGCTATTTTAGCTCTTGTATAAGTAGCATACCAATTTTAAATATTATGCAAAGGCTAGAGAAGTTAAAATATTTTATTTTTTTAGGTATATTATTATATGTCAAAGACTCCACAAATAGAAATTATTTTTTTTCCGTCGAGTTTTTCAAACAACAACAATAATAATATAATAATGATCGGTACTCAGGCAAGACTTCTATCATTACGATCTGATTATGTTATTCAGAATAGGTTAGCACGAGTAGGCCAAAGTAGTGTAGGTCACATTTCAAGACGAATTTGTATGCTGTAATTTTAGGATCTCAAAAGTTTTTTATTAATCTAATTAATGCATATCATTACTTGGTCTTAGTAGTCGTAATGATAGAATTCTTGCCTGAATGCCGGTCATTTCCGGGTTGTGGTGGATCTTATAATAATAATAATAATAATAATAAAATAAATAATATATGAAAATATACATTGTTATAAATTTACTCGTTAGCACCAGTAGGTCAAAATGTAGGTCACTTTTCAAGTGATGCGTAGATAAATGGTCGGTAGTTACGCTAGGCTCTTGGGAATGGGATGAGATTAGAGAATAATAGCAGGCGAATTTGTGTGCTGTAATTCTAGGATTTCAAAATTTTTTTATTAATCTAATCAATGCATACCATTACTTGTCTTAGTATCCGTAATGTTAAAAGTCTTGCCTGAATGCCGGTCATTTCCGGGTCATTGCTGGGTCTTAAAATAGGTGTTTTCACCTTATTAAGGGATAGTTTTATGGTTTTAAATAATTAACACAATTGATTGTTGAAAGATCTCCTTCGAAACGAAATAAATTCTTATGATTCGTCAATACTATGTCACTGCGACATTTTAGTCAATTTCTTGCTTTGAATTTAACGATGCCAGGACTACTGAGTATGCCGACATGCATTTTATTTACGAACAACGTCGTTTAGAACGAGCTATTGCAAGGGTTAGACAGATTCCTAACATTTTCACCAATTAAGTAAGAAACAATTTGGTCTGGCGACCGCAGGCCTGCATTGTCTGTGGTGGAGGACAGTGTCAGCATTTACTTTAATTAAAGCTAAGTTTCTTTAATTTTTTTATAGTTACTATTAAATTCTGTTCTTTCAGTAATAGTATTTATTTCACGCACGTGCTTATCAGCCATCTGACATTATTTAATAACCAGGTGACAGTTATGCACCTTAACAATGCCCCATTTTTTATGAGACATCCTGTATAATTAATCTGATTTCATACGACTGTGCGATTGTAAAATATGTAGGAAGGATTAATTTTGAATTACGTATCTAAAGAGTAATAAAAAACACGATCAAAGGCAGTCATGTATTTTCGAAGATTTGCCTTTGATAGAATTTTTATCTTGTCAGAGTGCCCTCAATTTGAAAGTTTGAGCTGAAGAGGCAATAATCAAAGACAAACTTTCAAAAATCCATGGCTGTTTTTGTTAGTGTTTAGGGCTTTTTGATCATTAAGTTTACTGAAAATTCTGTCGATATGATGGTAATAAATACTCCCCTACATTTTTAATTGTCTAAAATGTGTATGTCATTCGTTTTAAATACACCTTAAATAATGTCGTTTCTGATCTTGAATTTGGTACTCTTTTGTCAAATTGGACATTGTTTATGAAGTGAGTATTAAAATGAGTTACAAAATAACTAGCATTTTAAGATACTTAAAAACGTTTTGAGAAGAAAAGTGATTTTGAAAAATCATAATTTGATGTTAGTTAATTACCTTCTAGCTTCTTTGAGGTCAGAAGGAACATGTTCAGATTTTCTTGTGGTTTATATTTTCGTGAAGCGCATGCAAGTATGCTAACGAATAAATCTATAACAGTGTATATTTTCATACCCTCGAAGTTTTATCTATTAAATTTTCTCCGTATGTGTCCTATTTTGTAATTGTAGTAAATAACATTCAGAAAAAGTCCATAAAACCAGTTGGAAAATATATAATTAATGTTTACTTTAATCAGTTCTGTTACTTAAAGGATGAAGAAGATAGCAGCTAAATTTTTTGTAAAATATAAAACGTCAGCCACTTAAGCTAAACTTCTTTAGAGTTTACGTTTACTTGTCATATGACCGAGTTTTTGTTGCAGTTTGATGTATTAAATCTGAGCCGACACACTACATCTAGGAAAGTGCTTGAGATGCCGTAAGCACAGTAGTTGTTTATCGTAAAGTTAAAGTGCGTTTCTTTTTATATCTACAAAAAAGAAAATGTCAGTTTAGAGAAGGTTACGAAAACGGTGTGTTCAGTAAGTACAGTTTTCTAACAAGAATACTCACAGTAATCCCATAAGCAATCACAGTTTTGTCAGCGTCTCCGGGAATGTAAACTTTATTTTTCGCTATCCAGAAGACCTTGTTGTAAGGAGGATTGGCACAAAATTCCATTGTCAGAGTCAACGGCTGGCCGTAAACCGCCGTGATGGTTTTGTTGCTTGGAGTTACCATAGGCCGACCTGAAATTTTTCGATAAAGCGTTACAGACAAAAGGGCAAACGAGTATTTTGTGTTTTTGTCATATAATTTTCCGCAAATTAGTCTCATGAATAATTCGTCTTAGTAACTCAATTTGTGTGCTTGCCACAATGCAAAAATGATAAAGGATGGGGGGAGTCGGTAAATCATATTTGCAAATGAAATACTACATGATAGTAACCAAATTACCGGTATTATCTGTGACAAATGCGGATAGATATTCTGGTAAATGTAAAGAATATTAAATTACGCGAACGTAAAACCGCGGTTTTCACTCAGCGTCCTTGTTTATTTACGACTTTTGGGATTTCAGGCCAGAACAGGAATAGGAATGCACAAACAGAAGGGAATTATAATTGTAAATCTCCGACAATCTGGCTTTGTCTTTGTATTCTTGCGAAAGAATCAAAACACGGCGATGGATATCCGGGTGTCAACGGTGAGAAACCTAAATGAATTATTTCATAAACTGCACTTTATGCAAAGGCGCCGATTATTCCCGTCTTTGTTTTTAATCTCGTTTTTCTTTAATATTCAGTTAACAAAACGTATCAGAATCTGAATATACTTCAGATCTTTTAATTAACGATGATCACTTCCCATAATTAAATTTCTACGCTAAATTAACGCTCTCATGCTTGGATTGTTTTATTTGTAAATAAATCAGCCACGCATTAATTCTAATTAAGTTAAAATCCTTTATCGCCTTTACGAGGGAAATTTTTCTTTACATAAGGCAAAAATACCTGTTCTGAATTTAAATTTCGATTCAGCACGTCAAATATTCCCGTGTTTACCCACACTATTCGCCCTGGTAATTGGGTTGATTGTGAAATGTGGCATATGGAAACTTTGAACGTTTTATTATTCATATAACGTTCAATTTTTGAAACGTTTTTCTGCCATCAAACCGGGCAGATGCTTCGCTGCTTTGAATAACAAAAATAACACATTTTTGTTAAAGGAAGATCGGTATTTTATTTTCGCAACTGATAATTTTTTTGTGTTACGTAAGTTAGCAGATGGAATCTGTTTTCATCCATATTAAAAAAGAGAGACCTGCTTGGGCGGAATTCATTCTGAGTTTGTTAAGAATTATCAAGATAAGAGGGATCTCTTCCATTTTCTAGGTATAAAACTAAATCCCCGAGCGAACCTTTAACATGTAAAGCATTCTATTAAGTCGGGTCGTTCTAAAGTTATCGCAACCAAACTTCAGTTAATGTTCGCGGTCGCCGATTGTCCTCTTGTGTTGCTGGAATCCCTAAGGATCAAATTAGCGAAAACTACCGGGCGGTGAGTGTTGTGGTTATGTTTTATTACGGATCCTGGCCGTTGGATCATAATCGTTCTGTTATTACTCGGGAGGAAACGCCGCAAGAAGTCCATCAAGAGGTGTTCATGGAGAAAAGCAATTGTGTAACAAAGAGGTTCTTTGATACAATGCTGCTTTATGTGGCATTAGGTTAGATAACAATAAATAGGATTGGAATTAAATAGAGCGATTACAACAAGCGAACAGTAATAGCTACATATTGCTTCAGTTGAATTGCTGCGGTGTTTGTAGAAGTTAGCAGGCTTGACATTAAATTGCTTTTTTTTGTTTTCGTCTAGTACAAATTAAACTATACAATACGTTTTTATGTATGCTACTTTGTTTGTTCATAGTTACCTTGTTAATTAATAAATGTACCTAAAATGATACAAGTCTGATGTGGGTTACTTTAAGCCTTCGCTAGTGTGTGTCTAGAAAAAAGACAACCCGTCTGAAAATGTCTACTTTTCATTGATGTATTGTTATGGTAGATATTAAAAAAAAAAGGTTTACTCAATATTTACAGTGAACACAAAAATAACAGATAAATTCGTTTAAAAATTACATGAGTGGAACACAATTGGAGAGCTCAAATGATTGATTTAGAAGAGGAACATTTTATTTGTCTTTTTTTTTGGTAATACTGTATTATCTTCATTTTCTTGATCATCTTTTTAATTACAATAATTTAAAAATACTTATATAGGCAATTTATTGCTTTCTTGTAATTTTAAAGTACATATTCAATTAATAAATTACTCTCGAACTGAATTCTAAAATGATTGCTGCTAAATCAATTCACGAATTCAACAATTCAATAAATTAAGCTCTTTGAAACAGCGCCGCACGGTTGCAAAAAACGGTAAGAAATCAGTTTAATCAATTTGTAAAGAGACATTCTTTAGTCCAAATTAACTCGTGTCTTAGATCCCACTTAATAACTTATTAAGGGTCGTGTTACGCAGAACTGAATGAGAAATGGTGTGAGCCTAAGCTTTATAAGAATCAGTGATAAAATTATGGCGTGTAGTGACTACGTAAAAATCTCCTTTTTCTGTATATTATTTCTTGAAGGTTTATATGACACAAAACTCAAATAATTGTGTAACTACCAAAATTTATTTGTTTATCCCTTCTAGAAATCTGATGACCTTATTTTAAGCAAATATTAAATAAACTTCACTCAAGGAGGCGTTTTATTTAAAAGATATTTTTGTTCTGTAAAAGGGAAAGCAATTCTCAACAAACAGTTGTACAGTTTTTGTTAAAAGAACAAAAGGACGAAATTTGTGTTAAAATAAATAACCCCCTTATAATCTAGAACAGACACTTGCTGTTAGGTAGTGACATTGTACATTTTTAATAACAGCTTATACATTTGTAGCGTGAATTAGATAAATTTATTATATTATATAAAGACGTTTAAAACAATTCTTGGTACAAGATTTTCTAAAAAAGAAAAAAAAATAGGGAACGTCAACCAAGTAATATCATTACCTAAAAGGTACGCTGTAAAAGGTGTAAGTACGTAATAGAGTGGTAGGAATTTCCAAGTCTATTTCATTCATTTTGTCAGATTTATAACCATGTTTACGATCCCAATATACCTGGTTAGTATAAAGTTCCGGAACGGTCGAATAACTTTGTTATTTGAAAAATTTTTTTCTGAAATTTGCTTTGATTATATAGTTAAACATGGCGACTTGATTACAACATTTTTGCTTCATTTATCGCTCTCGGTTTGACAGACAGGGCCGCCTACTTTTTTTTAATGGAACACCCAGATTTTTTTGACATTTTCTGAAGCAGAATAAAAAAGTACTTTCAGAAATTATCAACATGTTTATTTCTACTGATACAAAAAAATTGAAAAAAATTTACAAAAAAACATAATATTGTAAAATGCACATAATTCACTGAGTCATTTTAAAATATTAGGTGATTTTTTTCTATTTTTTGTACATATTAGTAGAAATAAACATGTTGATAATTTCTGAAATTAGTTTTTAATCTGCATCAGAAAATGTCAAAAAAGTCTGGGTGTTCCATTAAAAACAAAAAGTAGGCGACTTTGTGTGTCAAACCAAAAGCGGTAAAAAAAAGGAAAAATATTGTGATCAAGTCGTCATGTTTAACTACATATCCACACCAAATTTCCAAAAAAAAGCACTAACCCTGTACATTTTTCAAAGAGACGTATGTAAAATATTAGCTTCCATTTCCGCCAAATCACGACAAAATGTTACTTAACATTTACAGTGACAGTAATATTTATTTCATATTTTTGATGCATCCTGTCGTAGTGATGCACTTCTGGAGAGAATGAGGGCAAAAGTTTGTTTAGCATTGTAAGAGCTTTTACTGAAAGGTTATTTTAATATCAATTAAAATATTAATAATGTTGGGTGCTAAAATTGCTTTGGCTTCATTAATAATACATCTATATTCATATTCTGTTAATAGCAGAATAATGACGGTGGGAAAATGAATATAAGAGATTTTTTTATGATCTTTATGAGCTAAAATTAATATAAGGTGTGGAATGCTCAAATACAGGTAAAGAAACATCGTATCCACATACATATTTTTAATGAGTTTTTCCACATATTTTTTTTGATGACGTCATCAACATTTTAGTAAGGACACATATATCATTTTGAATAGGTGCAGTGTAATAAATACTATTAATAATAGTACTGTATATACCCTCAAATGTTCTGGAAAATGGAATGGATAATAAAATATGTCGGCTCATTCATTAATTTTTTTGTCATTTTCTATAAGCAGTTATAAAATTATTATTAACGCATTGATAAACCACACCTACAGACTCTTAATGTTGTTTTATTCGGTAAAATTTTGAGATGACGTCATTAACTTTTTTTGGGAGGGGATAAACGGATAAATTTTGATTAACAATTTACTGTGCTTACGATAACCATAAAACGTTTGTGCACGATTTCAGAGCATTCGGTTTTCTAGTTTCACAATTAAATTGCAAAAAGTTGTTACACAATGTTGATTTTATTCTAAAAATCTGGGTGCCTAGGGTAAAAACTCATGGCGGATTCATCAAGTACAAGTTCAAGACTATGTTATTTTATAAAATTTAAATGGTGGTTACTAAAAAAAATTGAGGGGACGTCATCAAATTGTTGGTGTGGATGATTAGATATGACACATGTTGGTCAGCGATTTGCCATCTGCCCGACAATCCTAATTTACTTATAATATAACCTAATATACTTAATAAAATTTGGCAACAATCAGTCCGGTAGTTTCGGAGATTATCTGTCTAATAAAAATCGACAGACGGAAACAGGATACATATTTTTTTGTACTCTTGGGGTCATGAAACGTCAAGAAAACATGAAAGTAGTCTTAATTTACGCTTGGGAAGTAAAAAAAGAGAATGTTAAGTGCGATTCACAGAAAATGACCTTAAGTTGCTACTCAACGAACAAGCTGTCTTTCCCATCATTTACCTCTCACAATTTTTACTGATACCACGTTGTCAAATAAATAATCAGATTAATTAGTAAATTAATGGAAACGTCAATGTTATATGGCTCTAAAGATTTTGCAGTAACAAGGAACGAAATAAGAGTGTATATAGGACATATTAATAAATAACTTGAAAACTTGAATTTTCTTTCTAGAAAACGA